TCGTTTTATTTGTGCGTGTTTGACTCTGGTGGTAAATTCCTGCATTTGTAAGACAAGTGTAAATGCATGGAGCCTTCTGTAGCTTGCAGCTAACTTTTTGGTTTTCTTGCTGTTTAAGTACTCGACGGAATGTTTGAAGACATGAGGGGATGAATACATTGTGGAGCAAGAAGGGCTATAGCGTGATGCATTTGTTTATAGAACTGCTCCACAGTGGTGTACACACTGATAGAGAGGAAAAATACATCCCAGTCGGAGAAACGAATGAACTGCTGAAAGCATTCCCAGTTTATCATGGGTTGCAACGGGCACTGTAGAGGCGAGTTTAGTGACCATTTTAATTTGGAAGCTGAGTCGGATCATGTTATGGTCGCTGCCAGGGAGATTGTTTAAGATCTCGGTCTGTGGATTGAGTATCCCCAATGTGAATATTAATCCCAGTACATTGGCGGACCTGGTTGGACTGGATAACTTGAACTTGGATAACTAATTATTCTTTGGCTACGGTTGCTCACGAACGGCATCCATCTCAACTCGTGCAACAAAATTGGCTTGTTTAAGAAGATACTTGCACTCCGCTGGATGCGACATCCATTTTTTTTAATGGGCGTGAACTCAGCGTTACCACCGGGGACGAGCGATCCTCTTCAGATGTCCATTGTCGATGGTGAAAAGCCGACGCATCTCATCCACGCGGGCTGACTAGGGCTCGCTTCTGTACAGCAGCACTGAGTCAACGGTGTTGTAAACCCTACCGTTTATTGTGATGGAGACGTCACAACGACAAGCCGAGCGCGTCAAGGGGTGGTCACGAGAGCGAGTGTGCTCCCATCTTGGTGCAGTAGCTTACACTTTAAGAAGTCGTACCAAATGCCATACCTAGTTGGTTAAACCACCAGGCAGTTCAGGATGAGTTGCATTCTCTGCGGGTCGACAGCAAGTAAGCTGTTGTCATCGAAATAATCTATGTCGGTCGCACGCCTTCCTGGTTGAACTTCTCGACTAAATTTTCGAAAGTTTTTAATGGCTCTCGACAGGATGCTTTTCATTTGCAAATTTGAGTAGGGATAGGACATGGAGCGGCCATGTTGTTCACTGTTAATTACGATGCAAGACGAAGAATGCTTTCCACAAATTTCCGCTTTGTCGGAGACATGAAGGTATAGTGCACGTAGAATGGTAGTATATTTTCCTAGGACCCCATTCTTTAGCAAATAACGCCATATAGCAAGTTGATTTACCGAATCAGATATGACAATGATCGATTCCAGGTATAGTAGGCGGAGCGTGAATGTTTAATCCATCGGCTTCGTCTGGGACGGATTCCGGATTTTCCTTCACGATAGAATGGTCCACGAATGGGGGAGATAGTTCGCGAAACGGATTGGATGTCAGTGACATGAAGACAACCAATATGAAACTGATTCTTCCGTGATGGACGCATGAAGTTTTAGCGCCTTTCTTGAAAATCGCCACTGTAGCCTATTTGCCCATACCTGTTCTTGATTTGTCGCCCCTCTTTTGCACGGTGCACCGCTCTTCAGACGCCAAGTTTCAATTACGCGATGATGTGTACACCTACTTTTGAACAGATCGTGTGCACTCGGAGGAGCTGGATGGCATTGGATCAGACCAACGTGCGTATGGGAGCTTGGAGCCTGAGACCTCATGGATTAATTGTATATATTTGCAACGGTCTACGGATAGACATAACGCCATCAGAAACACTGGGACTCAAAAGAAGGTACAGAAATCGTAAAAGAAAACACAACACAAAACATCAAAGTTCATGGTTTCGTCAGAGTTACGAGATACTACCCGGTTGCCCAAGCCGAAGTAGGGTGTTGACTTAGGGGACATCATCCCGAGTCTTTGACTGAATAGTCTGCCCGCAAGGCAATGGAGCGAGTTCAGGGAATCGCGCCCAATGGGAGCCGGTGACTGATTGCTCAGTTCATACGCCTTTCGTTTGTTACTTTGTCAGACAGGGGCCCAATGCTCCCCAGAATTACAGCCAAAATTTGCTGGAATACCATGCTTCGCCAGGATGAAGCAAGGGGCAGTGACTTTATTTAGTGGTGAGTCACGTCCGCCACGTCACAGTGTTGTTAAACGGACATATGTGGCTTTTTATAGGGAGAATGCTTACCAGGCGAAACCCACCACGTCCTGGAACACCGCCGCCGAACCATTTGCGGGAACGGGAAAATCCCGAACCAGCCAGCTGGCACCATGAGGAGGTTGTTCGGCAAGCCAACCTGGATTAATTGTAAAACTTATGTTTTTCCTCCCGTCGATTTTCTTCATCAGAATCCTATTTTATGCTTGTAGGCGTCATGGTGGACGTCATCGTGTCACCACTTCGGCCGGTGCTAAAACGGGCTGAAAGATTATTGGGCTCGGTTAAACTAATACAGTCACGCTATGAATGCAACAGTACTCCTAAAGAGGGAGATGCATATATGCACTGCATGAAAAAAGAATCACTTCAGAAGTACGCCGCCACGTGACCACAACCAGCCTCACACGGGCTTAGGCAATCGTTAGGTCGCCTGCTCCTATGCCGATACTAACCGGTGACCTTTGGATTGTAACGTAGACGCCTTGTCTTTTCGGCCACTGGCCATTATTGGAATTTGAAAACTGTCGTTAAATTCCCACTCTCTTCTGATACCTAGACCTCATTTAGCTAGCAACGTAAGAGTTGCGGATGCGGATTTTGAGCTGCTCAATAACCACTCAGCTCAAAGAACCGCTCAAAATCCGCATCCACACCCCGAGCTACGGATATTCTCATTTATTTCAAGTACGAATTGTGTTGTCTGGCTTTATTTACTTAGAACAGCTAGTCTCGGTATGAGTAACCACAATCTCTTCGAACAGCAACAGCTGCTAGCAAGTTGTTTCGTATTACACCGTGCCTCATAGTACCAAAACTTGGCCTTTTGATCTAGTTCTGGTGAACTCCATCGGGACATTTTCGAATGCTGCATACTCGTGGCGGCGTCTACCATCATTGATGCGCCCATCCTGACAGTCTTTCATTCCTATCCACTTGTTTGGCCCGACTCGCTCAGATTTGCTCCCATTGTTGGTTTAACTCCGCTTTTACGACCGTATTCTGCCTTATCTATGTTCACATCACCCAAATACTTGTTTAACTTCATTATTTCCTCGTCCTTATCACGCAGTCCACTTCGCGTCGGAAAGTCCTTATTTGTAAACGCATACTTTTCCTTTATCGGCACCTTTTTGGACTCATGACCCCGATATCCACTAGCTTGTTTCTAAACCTCTCGAGCTAGTGTCAACACTTATCAATATCGAACACGTCAATCTTTTAAAGAACGTTCTAGTTGGGCTTATGATAGAATTTGCAGCTTTAACTAGAGAGTTTTTTGTAATCGAGTTCCAATGACGACCTTTTGATTGCGGTGCATCAAGTTGCACGACTTACAATTTCACCACGCCTTTACTGGCTGTTCCTTGGGTGATTTTCCAAACTGGTATTCTGTTTTCACCTCTAACGGTCCAACCGAAGGAAGGTGTACCGAAATGCGTTCAACACAATGCTTCTTGATATCTCCTAGCCTCTCCAATTCTCATGCACATGTACGTCACCAGCTTTTGCACTAAGCAATCATCTATCGGTTGGATGTCATAATGTAGAATTCTGTGCGTTTTACGAACACGTGTTCCATCATACTGACCGACTTTATTGCGCTACACTATTTGAGACTAGTTCTATGTGTTCAAAAATTGTTATCAGCCCTCGCTTTCAATAGACTTGGAGGTCTAATTTGTGTGTTCCGCTTTGCACCTCTTACCAGTCTGAACATGTACCCACTGTTAGACACATGCAAGTTGTCAAAGGTACCACTGCAGTACTACAAATGTATGTGTTTACCACAGTTTATCTGCTTATTGAGCCTTTCATATTTTGATGTTATTACTACTATTATTTATGGTGCCTTGATCCAGTTTCAACCGTAGTTTCCTTCTCAGTGACCTTTCAGTTGTTGCATCTGAATCCTGATTGACTGAGCGTGCATCAGCCTGCCCCTGTTACTTATTACAGGTTGAAGCGTTTTTCCATATTTGTGTTTTCATCGTTCAAGTCCTTACAGCTATACTACGAACGTTAACTAGCATACGAATGCTTCTGCTCAGTAATTTTTTCATCTCATTGATTTCGTTGTGTGCCTGTCTTTTTGGTATAACACGGCTGAAAACAGGAGCCTGTCAGTAACTTCCTGAATGCTCTCTTCCCCTTAGATCACACAGTGCAAAGCTTTGCTACTCTCTGGGTTACGATTGAGTGTCATCAGTCAACAACAGCAGTACCTCAGCCATTTGAACTGATGCTTCGCTGCCATACAACTCTGATGACCTATAGAATAAAGAATAATAAGAGGGAGAGAAGGGGGACTTACTTAAAATCCTTAGTACTCTAAGCAAACATTCAGCGTCAAGGCTCCTACACCTTGTGTAGGCAACATACCGTCGCAAACAGCTGGCTATCGTGCGATTGAGTGTGCTTATGAGCACTTTGTTTGCTCGACGTTTGTTGAAAACATTGATGACGCCGAGCTCCGTCCGAACTATTTTCGATTAGAGCGATGAACAGACGAGGTCAGGACAAGGTTGCATTTCAAACTCAGACCTATGCCTTGATGAAGCTTGTCTTCTTCTGCGCACTATGCAACATCAAATGACGTATATTGAAAACGCCCGGTTTTCCAAAAGAAACGCAAAATACCACGAATCTTCTCAAGTACATGTGCATTTGCTAAATTACCCACCGACTTCTATTTTTGGGTAACCGATGTAGCTGTTTGCACTCGCATTTCTGGACATAGCGAAGTTTTACATACCGGTGTGACGGCGTTCGTTCGAACACATTTGTTTACTCAGAATGTTTTTTTCGGAGTTATTTCGTGGTCTAAATCCACATTGAATTTAGACAATCCAACAATTTGTTCCACGATTGCTTGTTTCAGGTTCGGGCCGTGCTAATTCCATCTCTTCTGCTCCGGCAACCGTTGTTCCTCCGCCGCCACCTCCGCCTCCACCACCACCGCTTCCATCGTCCTCTGGTAGCGCTCGCCTTAGCCGTCCGCTTTATCGATCCACAACTAATGCACCCTCCGTGTCCGACACCGGTGATGATGATGGAGAGGAAGACGGGTCAAATCCCGACTCTGGTTTCGCGTCCCAGCTTCGAATGGCCAAACAGCACCGAATGCGTGCTGCCTCCTTAGCTGCGGTCAATTCAGATCACTCCTCGGGCTCCGCCACAGTGGGCCGTGCTGCCGGATTCGATATGATATCTGATCTGCAACGTGTGTTGGCTGCTCGTCGACGAGCCAAAGAAGCTGAGGTAGTGTTTCTTACCCATTGCGTGCACACACTGTCTTGCTTAGTCGCTACTGTCCATAATTTCCTCCTGGGACACGCTTCGAAGCGGAACCATTCGGTTTTGGCTTACTACAGTTGTAGTAGTAGTAATAGTAGTAGTAGTAGCAGTAGTAATTGTTGTTGTTGTGTTGTAGGGATGTGTGGATTTGCAAGTGAAACTGATGAAAAAGAAAGATGGAACTAGTAGTGGTTGCCTATCTTATCCGCTGGGCTTTATTCCGCTGGGTTTTTCGACGTAGTGCTCGTGTGTCGGCTGGGACATGCAGTAACATCTGGACCCAGATCGGAGAATGATTTGGCTGCTCTATCATAGCCCTTAGCTCAACAGCCTGATCACAAGGCTTCGAGAGTCCAACAGTAGTCGTTGAGTCATTTTTATGTGCATAGCATAGACGACTAGGGGACTCAGCTCATCTTTCACCTCTGACCGTGGAACATTTTGGTATCGATACCTCACACGATACTAAATGGCACAACCCAGTTCAATTCGGTGGACCGTTGAAACACATAAACCATCACGCCGTTGGGACAGGTCGTTTCATCCCAATGGCGTATCTTCGGTGTATTCTTTCCTGAAGAGGATTGCGGGTCTTTTGGGGCCTATCGAAGCTAACCCTTGTTCAACAGATTCAAGGCGCATATTACCATCGAAGAATGATATTTGTTTCCACACTGCAGTACTATCCACTTGTCTGTTTTGCCGAGGCAAGTGGAGCCGTAGTGTGCATATTCAGGCGCTTGTCCAACGACCCCTGCTCCCCAGTCTCAGATACCAACCTCTAGGTCCTTTGAGCGCCTCTTCCATATGGCGTCCCGTATACTACGGCCTACAACTTCGCGTCAGAAGGCATCGGCACAAACTACTGATGCATTGCTTATCTCATTCTTTTTTCTCTTATGGCTTCGGAAAGGCACCTAACAGTTCTAGACAAGTAAGCAGTAAATCTTGACCTTCCTGTGCTACGTACCCAAGGTTAGTTGGTTGACCAATATCTCTTTATCTAGAGATTAATGAGGTAGGTGGTTGACTTTACGTGACTTTACTATGGGGAAACTGGCCTATCAAATTGACAGATATAAGAGGCTAGTTGCGTTCGACCACCAGTACCTTTACAGTTTAGCTCACATATGGTGCCAACCCCGCTTGAGCAATGAGCGTGTTCGGCGTCTCGTATTCCGTGCAGGAAGGGGAAGTGAATCGCTCTGCACCGTTATTTCACACACCCGACTCCGACTGCTTGATAATGTAATGCACATGTCAGCACACCGACTCCAGCGATGTGCGTTGTTTGCACGGTTGGAGTTTGAGTGTTAGGAAGCAGGCCTGCCGGTAACTTGTAGATGAATCACGTTTCTTCTCTGGACGTTGGCCTTGATTAGCGTCTCCTGACTTAAAAGGTCTGAACCAACGAAACGAAGTCGGCTAGAGAGACTTGTTGACAGCATCAACTACCGACCTTACCCTTGTTTGTTTGGGAGTTTCTTTGAATGTGCCGCTCTCCCTTACCATTCATAGCGCTACACCACGACCTCCATATTGACGCATATTAAAACGTAACAAATAAAGTAATTTTTCGCCGATACTCTCATTTATCAGTTTGAAAAGCGCGAAAGGAAGACGAAGACTGATGAATGCACGCATTTCGTACTGTCTCAGGGCCTTTAACAATAACACAATAATATTTATTCAGAGGAGGTTGCGACCAAACATGGTTGGTGGTATCCGATTCCGGATTTGCCTGTCACTGTAGTCTCCACAGCACACTTGCGCTTACGGAGGGACCATGAGTGGTTTGCGCTGCACCACCCACAGTTCCATCCACACATATCGTGTAAACCCGAAAGAATAAGACTGGCAGATATGCGGATGGGAGCCACGCTTTATCAACGGAGCCGGCCCACACTCCTTCATAGGTAAACCCAAGCACGCTGTATTTGAGAATTAATCGCACACAAAGCGGTGGATGGACCGTTGTCCGCGCCACACACAAACCGTGTGCATGGAACCACTCTTCGAGTCTAGCACGGCCACAAGGACCGTACACCCCGTCCTCTCCAGCAAAAGCCAACTGTCTCCTAGAAGCAGTATATACGATGTGGTGGTTAATAGACAGGTAGGCACCTTGTCAACATGCATATCAAGCGCAACTACACCAGGGATGGCAAGCAGCAGCTAATCAAATGAAATGAAACAAGCAATAAAATAGGTCTAAACCACCATGCCGCTAAATTAGCGCAATATCAATGCTATAGCTGAGACACTTGAGGTGGCTCGGTCATGTGTGACGTATGGATTCGACGCGGATTCCGAAGCAGCTGCCGTATGGCCAACTGAGTGCAGGGAAGCGGCATGTGGGGAAATCAAAGTTACGTTACCAGGACATGATCAAAGTGAGTCTATCACGTTCTAATATTGATTACAGATGTTGGGAATCGAAGGCGGTTGATCGGCGTGCATGGCGCGATCTGATCACGAAGGCAGTTGCCGAGGTGCAAGAGAAAGCCCTCATGCATGCGAAGAAGAAGTGGCAAGTGCGGAAGCGACAGTTGCTGATGGGATGTACTCCATCTACGTCAAGCGCAGCGTGCTGTAGCACATGCGATCGCGAGTGCCTGAGTCAGGCAGGTCTAGTGAGCCACGAGCGAGACCACTTGGGACCAGCATCGAAACAATGACGGGTCCTGCTGAGAACGTAGGTGGAACCGGCACAGCGTTTTTAGGTTTGCATTCGATTTAGTAATGGTGTGTTTGCGTGCTGAGCCACTTTATTTCAGGTAGTGCTTATTTTCTTAACTCATTCTAATGTCAGTCTGGCTAAACTAATCAATCACAAATGTCGCTTAAGCGAATGGTGCGGAACTTCATTTTTTCGCCATTTTGCATATGTTTCTTGGTCTGTTTGTTTGCCATCTTCAACTTATCGCTGTTATGTTGATAATCCATTTGTATCTTTTGCTAATTTCGGGGCATATCCGTATGGTGGTTTAGACCTATTTTATTGCTTGTTTCATTTCATTTGATTAGCTGCTGCTTGTCATCCCTGGTGTAGTTGCGCTTGATGTGCATGTTGACAAGGTGCCTACCTGTCTATTAACCACCACATCGTATATACTGCCTCTAGGAGACAGTTGGTTTTTGCTGGTGGGGACGGGGTGTACGGTCCTTGTGGCCGTGCGCGGCTCGAAGAGTGATTCCATGTACGCGGTTTGTGTGTGGCGCGGACTACGGTCCATCCACCGCTTTGTGTGCGATTAATTCCCAAATACAGCGTGCTTTGATTTGCCTGTGAAGGAGTGTGGGCCGGCCCCGTTGATGACGCGCGGCTCCCATCCGCATATCTGCCAGTCTTATTCTTTCGGGTTTACACGATATGTGTGGATGGAACTGTGGGTGGTGCAGCGCAAACCACCCATGGTCCCTCCGTAGGCGCAGGTTTGCTGTGGAGACCACAGTGACAGGCAAATCCGGAACCGGATACCGCCAACCATGTTTGGTCGCACCCTCCTCTGAATAAATATTATTGCGAGTTATTGTTAAAGGCCCTAATGAGACAATACGAATTGTGTGCATTCGTCAGTCTTCGTCTTTGTATACCGCTTTATATATATATATATATATATATATATATATATATATATGTTTGTTTTTTGTTGTTGGTTCCTCTTACTGCTTCTCAATTCTACCGTATTGCGACACAGTAGCTGTGTTTCTCATCTCAGTCTACCGTGTATAATTTTTTGGCTGCATGCTCGTTGTGTCGTGGTCAATTTGTTGCGAAGTTCCCCTCCCTTCGATGCTGTCATCATCGTTATGCACGTTAGCTGCAGCTGGGAAACACGCCACGCTCTGTGAACTGCTTGTATGGGTCTCCCACGCACCATGGTCCCTTTAGCTTCTACACATTTGGCAACTTCTCCGAGGTAGATGTTTTTGCACCTTGTTTAGCGTCGCCTGGGGTTCCAGCAAGCTTACTCATGTCATGTCAACAGCAAGCTATTTCGTTTCCTCTTTCTCCACTATAGGCACCTTCATCTTACTATCTCTGCCTTGCCTCGTACGCAAATCTCCTAGTGTTCCGGCGACGATATCAGCGATGTTTATTTTCTTTTTTTTCTCATCTGTTACTCCCATTAAACCGTCGTTTTGGATCGCTGATTGAACTGGCTTGCGGGCTTCTTTAGTGAAGTTTCTTCTTTGAAAGAGCGCTGTACTAATGCGACCACCGACTCAGTTGATCCCACCAAGTTCTCAGTGCGTTTAGTGACCTATAACATTTAGACGCCCTGCGGTGCGATTCGCGCTGTATTTGTGCATTTCTCCTGCCTGTTGCTTGTTAACAATTAGCGCACCTATTTGCTCTGATTCTCGGTTCTTCCCATTGGTTGCCTCGTTCTTTTTAATCGACGTGTTTTGCACTCAATAGGAGAACGGAACCATTGAGAACGGAGCCATCGAAAACGGTGGAGGCGGTGATATACCGTCATCTCAGTCTTCGACACTCGCCAATCCACGGTGCTTGGGATCCATGCCAGCGCAACATCAGCCGGTTTCCAGCGCCAGCGGCTCCATTGTACCCGGTTTCGCTACATTGTGAGTCACCCTGCACACACACACGCACAGATTTGTGTTTTGTCTGATTTCCAACGGCGTGTCTGTGTTTTCCAAAAGCGACTTCTAGTAACATAACTTTACAAAGCGTTTGCGGACAAACCGCACCGTCAGTAATGAATAAGAACAAATGAGAGAATACAAAGAAGTAGTAGGGGGAATTTGTATGGTTTAAATAGAAGTTAATCACATCGAGACTCAGTCAGACTGCAACCACACATCGGATTGCGTGAGTCTAGATGTAATGGACCTCCACTTATACCATACAAATTGCCTAACTACTCCTTTGCAACCAATACAGGCCAATGTTTAGTAAGTTCGTCGCTCGGTGGAGGGCTACCCTATCCTTTGCACGACAATAACGTACAAGTCAGTGGGTAGTGAGCAGCACTATATCACATCTAGTAACCTAATCACGACAGTCGTTGCTGTTCCCCGTAGCTCAGTGGTCTCAACCACAGACTGGCTACACTTGGTTCATGGGTTCGAGCCCTACAAGAGTCAGATGGAGTGCGCCCTGTATCGTGATTATGTATACAGTCGATTCCGGTTAATCGGACCACATCGGGACCAGACCATTTTGGTCCTATCAAGCGGCTGGTCCGATTAACCGACGTTACCCGATGTAACAAGATGGGACGTGCTATACATAACATAGGAAACTGCTATTATGACCTGTATTGGCGGCATATATTTATAGCAAATACACGAAAAAGAACTGCTTTGATATCGAACTTTGTTCACTGAAAAAGAAATTTACAAACAAATTCTTCGTAACGACCTACAAGATATTCAGCATGCGAAGTACAGTTTTATACGAAGGGATTACCGAATTCCATTCAGCGTTTGAAGACCGTATCCAGTGTGGTTTGACGCATTCTTTTAACAGACTGCATTCGCACAAAATCACCACAAACATGTAACGCAGTAATAGGACTACCTTTATTTCCTTCCTGCATGAAATAGCGGTGCAATGTTTCAATGCATTTCCTTGCATCCTGTTTTGTGACTGGCATCAACACGTTAGGGTTCTCTTCATCACTTTCATGATCTTCTGTTGCTGTCGTGTGTTTCGCTGCTATTCAAGCAACAATGGCAGCATCGCATTCTTCATTTCCATCATAGAGTTGAAGTTCGTTGTCCATTGACAAAAATTCTTCGTACTTTTCAACTTGTTTCAGCTCCACATTCTCGCCGTCATTTTCATTTACAATCACCATATCCACATCCATCTCCGAGACAATATGCTTAAAGCCACAGTGAGAAAAACAGTTCCGAATTGTCGCACTGCTCATTTTTCGCCAACTTTCAGCCACCAATGTAACGGCTTGCAAAATGTTGACCTTTGCACTGATTTCTCCGGCCGTCGAGGATGAGGTCAGCAAGCCTTCCTCAATTGATCCAAGGATGTAATTCACCAACCTTGAACGATAAAATGTCTTCAAATTTTTTATGATGCCCATGTCCATTGCCTGTATCAAAGATGTGGTCTTGGGAGGCAGAAATTCCATCTGGATATTCTTCACGAAATCCAAATTTGAATGTGTTGCACGATTGTCGAGAAGTAATAACGCTCTTCTCGACTGGCGTTGTAGCTCTGTGTCCCAATCCTTCACCCATTCTTTAAAAAGTGTAGAGCTCATCTATGCATTTCTGTTCGCACGATACACAATTGGTAAACTGTCCATTCTGAGTCCCTTAAAGCAGCGTGGCTTGGCACATTTTCCTATAACCAGCAACTTCTCCTTGTCAGTTCCGGACATGTTTGAGCAGCACAAGACAGTTACGCGATCCATTGCTTTTTTGCAGCCAGAGAGAGTAACATGTTTGTAACTTAAGGAGCCGTCCGGTGTAGCCCTATGGTACAACCCGGTTTCATCAGCATTATAGATGTCATCTGCTGGAAATTTTTCAAAAAACTCTGGTAGTTTTGTTGATTTCCATTCTTCAGTTCAAGCGCTATTGGCACTTTCTTTCTTACCATGTGCTTTCTTAAATTTTACATCATGTCTAGATTTCCATCGAGACAACCAGCCGTCCGTAGCTATAAAATCTTCGTGGTCCAGCATTTTAGCGAGTTCTTCTGCTTTGTACTTTAACATTGGGCCACTTACTCGCACGGCTCGTCCAGTAACAAAGGCAAACCAATCATTAAGGGCCTCATCGACGTCTGGATCCTTGCCTTCACGCTTCCGTTTTTGGGAAGTACCTCGTCCTCCTTCACACTGTGCCCATTCTTCTCGCAGATCTTTCTCTTGTTTTATCAGGCGCGATATTGTAGATTTTGCCAAGCAGGTAATTTCCATCAATCGACGCTGACTAGTGGTTGGTCCCTGTTCCTTGATCTGATCTAGGAAACGAATCTTCTCAGCTAACGTCAAGTCCCGTCGTGGCATTTTCTTAACATGCAACAAGACACGCACAGTTCACTGAGGTAAACTCGTGTCTGTCTTCCGGGTATTACTATGATTGACCTAGCCACCTGCTGTCCTATGGTTTGCCGGACCTGTGTGTCCGCGATCACTTGCTGTGCTCGAGAGTAGGCCCGCAATGCGGGCTCAGGGCATTCGGCTCAATGGACGTGCGGTACATCGATCGAGCGGTTAACGACATGTGAACAAGCATGTATGTCTTCGCTCCGCCTACAAGTGTTGGAAACTACACTCAGTTTCGGGCGGTTCTGAAGCCAATTAGATAGATGTGCCTCAAGGTTGACACAGTTCAATTTATCCAAAGGCCAACTCGGATTACCGTAACTGAATGATACGCTTTCTTGCCCGACATATGAACTGTGGGTTTAGTCCAGACATCCAGGCACAGAACTTGATTTTAACACCTCAGTTACCTGCCACCTTCTATTGTCTGGTCCGATTAAGCGGAATTCCGGTCCTAATAAACGGCTAAAATTAGGCTAGCGTAATAGGATTCGTTTCGGTTCTTCAGAAATTTGCCCGAATAAGCGGCTGATCCTAGTAACCGGAATCGACTGTATATATGTATATTCATAAGTCTGAGAACGGACAAATGGGCCATCAGAACCATGGCTGTAACGGTATGAAAAAATGATAGTTCAAAAAACAAAGGAAGCAAAGAAAAAACGGATTTTTTGTTTTTGCTTTCATCTTTATATTTCACACACGCTGTTTTGAGTTTCTGTTTTGTTTAAATTCGAAATGTGGATGGAAGGGAAATGTTTGAACAGCATTGACGTCATTGATTTTGTTTATGAGCCATAGCCACTAATGCTTCCAGCCATTTAGCGTCCCCACCACGTCTTTCCCAACCTGGAAGACGTACAGATCCTGATGAAGCCAAACATGCGGTGACATTCTTGATGTTCCTCTTCATGGTCATCTCTTGTCCACCCTGCATTTTCGCCAATCATGTCTAGGAATTGCAAATAATGCTCGGCGAGGAACTCCATTGGTTGGCATGCTCAAAAAGTGACCAAGCCAACGTAAACTTTCTTTGAGCGTAATACTTAGGAAACTGGGATTATTCGCTCCGAGTACCCGACTTCTAACATGGTGTTGCCACCACACACGAACGATCGTTCGCAAACAGCGGTCAGATCTCGGGGCCGTACAACAGGATTGCGCAGACAGTTGAACTGTACGCTCCGCCTTTGAGCCTTAGACTGATGTTACGGCGGTGTCACAAGTGCCTCAGGTTAGTGAACGTCAGGCGGGATTTAGCGATTCCCTGAGACACTTCATCTCTAATGCCGTCACTCGCTGTGATGCACCCGAGATAAATGAAGCGATTCACCCGCTCCAGGCAATCACCTTCAATTGTGAGTGTTAGCACCGGCACTTGCCAATCTTGGAGCAGGGTTTTACACTGGAGTGGGGCAAAATACAAACCATAATTAGATGTAGCCACTGGCGTAGTAACTGTTTTTGCCGTGCGGAGCGGTTGTATGATTTTCGCCCCCCCCCCCCACCATAGTAGTTCTAAATCTGTAAAGCCCCACAACTGCGAACAGCACTTGATTATTTTGTTTCATAGAACAACAACCAAAGATCTAATTCTAGTGCGTTGCTGTAGGTATAGGTATTTGTATTGTTACCATACCCGCGTACAGCAATCTACAAACACATTTTTTCTAGCTTTACCTGCGGTAGAACCATCGATAACACTATCAAAATTCAAACCATGTGCAAGTTTCTTCTCTATAGAGAGGACTACGAAGTCTGTGAGCCTTGTCTGATTCATTGTTCATCGAAGGTAGCTTTTTATAAGCCTGAGTTTTGTGAATGAAGGCTCACAGCTGGCAATGCTATTCGCTCAAGTAAGAGAGTTGCGCAGCAGCTCCCTCAATGTAATTTTTATGTATGAAGCTCAAAAGTTCTAGGGTCCATTGATTCCGTCGTTTCTTGAAGCTTTCACAAACACGTCAATCTTCTTTCGGCAAAGCATTCTTCTTTTTCCAAATCTTCCACACTTTCGCCAAGCGGACAGTCATAGTTATCCTCTAGCAAGTTTGACGAATAAGAGAAGTACATTTGTTTGTACATCATTAATTTGCTGAAATCTACGACATTTCATCAGTCAAACTGTTTGTGACAGGCAGCATATTCGATTACAACTCAGCATCTTGTCCTGTCGATGTATCAAACAATTCTCCAGCATTCAAGGGCAGCAGCTGTTTCCACTTCCGATGGACGATGAGACCACCAGGCTTCGTGGTCTCTCCTTAGGCTAGCACGCAGTTTTGCTCTGCAATTTTTGCGAGTCTTACTGTATACGCTTCCAGACGAAATACGTCGGCGAGCATCCATAAGTTCCAGATACTTTCTAGAGACCTCTTGGCAATTTGATTTGCCACATGAAGACATGCCTGCCGATAGTAACCTTCGGTGAATATGCAACCATTGATCTTCGACGGTCTTCAATGGGCGCTTACTCAGCCCGGATACCGGCGTACTTTGATACGCATACAGAACACCTGGCTTCAACCAGTTTCTGGTGTCGATGCGCTCAGATCGACTTTGCGGACGTCCGCTGAAGCGCACCGACAGATCAGCACACAGGAGCGTGATTGGAGTCCACGCTGGTGCTCCAAATCGAGCGACAGATTTGGACACAGCCTCTCCAGCGGTAACTAATCGCGATGTGATCGCTTTGCGTCCATTGCTGGTCCGAGGCTGGTGGGCGCCAAGTCACACTTCTGCGACGGATACGTTGAAAGCTAGTGCTCGCGAGAAAGAGATGAGCACCTTCACACAGGTGCAGCAACCGCTCACCGTTATCATTACGGGAACCAACACCATGCTGGCCACCCAGATGAACCCCATCAGAGGACAAATTTCCGACTTGCGCGTTTAGATCCCCAGCCAACACCACAGTATCCGTGCTTCTTCTGTAATGAGAGAAATCATGAAGTTGGTGATAGAAATCATCTTTCACCGAATCAGTGCTGCGGTTTGTAGGGGGCGCAGGCCGCAATGACAAACAGATACCGTTTGTTCCCGCGCGACTTCGTAGCATAGAACGAACCAGCCAATCTAACGGCGTACATCCTGACTGTTGACTGAGATCCAGTCGATCAAGGGAGCTTCAGTCCGGGGACTAAAAACAATGCCGGCATCAGTTTGACCTGTATTTGAAGCTGCGTCATCGCCAGACAGACACAATGAGAATGTGCCCTCCAGTCTCATGTGGGGAATCACAGAGTAAGCACGGAGCTCGAATCTTGCAGGCGGGTTTCCGATAAACAGAAAATATTGATCGTGAGGGTCATGAGGGTACGGGCAAGTGCTGTCTGTTGGCCAATCTGTAGCAAAGTGCACACGTTGAGTTATACCAGTCTTAGCGAGGATCGAGGACTCAAAAGGGAAACGGATGCACTGACGTTGTCCACTTGGTTGAACATGGACTTGTTGACTGGATTGGAGCGACACCCTGCGATTTTACGAGTTGAAACTAAAAGAAAAGCGGCTATTCAAACAAGGTGGGGTCAAGGATTGGGATTAAAAACTGGGGGATGAAAGTGCAATTGGAACGGGACGCTAAGGATAAAAAAGCGTAAGAGGGGGAATAAGTAAGAGGAAAGCCTTGAGCAGTAGCATCCAAACCCCTATCCACCCTGCTCGATGCTGCAGATAGGGCGTTGTTTATTATCTCCTGTGACGGCCAGAGCATCAACAGATTGTTAGAAGGAAAGGTCATGGTGTATTGCGTGGGCAAGACCGTCTCAGATTGCCCAGACCTAGACAGGAGGACGATTAGGGTTTTCAATCAGTCTTTGGTTCAAAAATCTTACCACAAAGCAGCGGGGTTTAAACACTGGACTACAAAGAGCTCGTTTTATTGAGTGAGGAGCCACCCTAACTCCAACATGGAAGGCCAGGAGACTGCGTTTGTCTGCCCCCTAACCATTGACCAATCTGGTATAAGTGGCTCTGAAGGTGCAAAAAGCACCAACCAGCATAGTTCAATGGATCACTGAGGCATACCAAACATCGCACCACATCAAGGTCCAGTCTCAGCGCGATGGTGGACTTCAGGCCAGCGTTAGATGTATGTGATTTGGTAGATTCCCTCCGAATATCTGCATAGTGGATATCCGAAGCCATTAGGTTTGCAGCATTTCTTGAGGATTCAAAACGTGCATTCACGATATACCTCTTCGTAGACTGGAGCAGTGAGAATTCCTTACGAAGAAGTAACCTCGAAGGTCATTTGGGGATCACTAAGCAAGCGCACACTATAGAGGTGCAGTCAGGCGTCCGCTTCTGACAGAATGCATGACCAATTACAACTATAGACTCAGTTGGGAAAGCTGCGGGAGATCAGCATACGAAGATAGCAGAACACTAGAGACACGTTTCACAGTCGTCGGAAAATGAGTCTGTATACAGGGTCTTACTGAAACATCAGACGATGACAGTGTACGTGCTAAACAAGGACGATATCACCAGTACGAAGCAAATGCGAACACTTCCTCTATGGCTAGGCCTTGAGATGTTGCAAATTGCAGAAGCCAACATTTACGTGAACAGAATGAACGTAGAGGAGCTACCGAATGCGTTCTTAACTGTCTTCATCCGATCGGTTTGAAGAGCTTCAGCAGAGGGATCCTGTTTGCAACACTAGCCTTAAGCCACCACCACCACCAAACTCTTGCATTTGAGCACCGCAACATGAAACACATGTGCTCTTTCTATACATACTGTGCCAGTTGTAGGGAGCACTTTGATCTTGCATACTGCTTAACCTCTGCCATGTATCAGCTGTCGGGATAGCTGTTACACCATTTAGATGGAGATCCGCTTGACCTGACAAAACGTTCGCGTTAATAGCGAAAGTTTGTCCACTAGCTTTGCTAACCGATTGCTTTCTGGCCAATTGGAAGTCATTAGTTCTTACTTCTTACAAGCTGCTGCATAACCCGGTGGTCTATCCACGCTAACAAGGTTACATCAGGTTGCCTGTGATTTCAGCACCAACTAAACTAAGTGTCAGTTCGATTAGATCAAAAAGCTAGTTGACAGGCGTTATGAAGTTTTGAATGTACTTTACAGCACAGCGATCCTGTCTTGTTGAATCGTTGGGGTGGCCGTTTAGGGGGCCCAGTTCCTCTTTCTCATCATCACAGAATCATTGGAACACTCGCTTTGTTTGACATCTTCCTACGTGTGTACCAACTAGTTTGTAGCCCTTCCCACCCCCACTTCGTTAAATTTCCTCTGGTCCCCTTAATGTGAGGATAGCTCAGTTGACTTTGGCACTTATCTGCAATATCACAGCATACAGTCAGGAAAGTCTGCTGGCGCCTATTGTCACGTGTACAAGTGACACGCTTGATAGCCCGAGATTTCGAGCGCGTTCTAACCGAAGTTCTGGAGGCCTCATCTGAGCCTATAGATTACTTGTCACCTTTAATCTCTGATCAGCAATTTTATTCGTCACGGGTGTTCATGAAAATGCCCGACATTTACACACTTTGGTGTTAAGTAACCGCGGGTGATTCGGTTCTTTGTCAGTTGCTTGCCCATCAAGTGTTCGCTTTCAATCATCCGCTTCACCGCATTGTTATTAATTTCCTTTGTATGCACTTATCGACCCCAACAAATTCGGCAATTGATTGTCCACATCAATATCATCATCCCACCAAATTATCTAGACGTCGACGACTTAGCAGTATGTCTTCAGCAACGAATCGCTGGTCCTCATTTCGATGCAACAGATGTTTACAGTGTGGTGGCTTCTTGCTTATTTTATAGCACTTTGTGATCAAAATTCAACCGACGCTCTCTCGCTAACACATACATGTTCTCGTGCGTGTAAGCGCGTTCAATGTGGTCCGGCGCCCAACTTATTTCCTTCTACATGTCTTGCATTTTCCCCGAACTCATTTTTTATCCATCACTTCTCTTAATGAGTATGCAAGCAGTGCATTGTTGTTATTTGGAAGTGTCCCCAGTTTCTGCCACTAGGATAATCGCTTTTAAATGATCACTCTTCGCGCTCTATCTTATCGTAGACGAAAAAATTCTAGTCCGGCTCTGGACTCCAACACGTGCGGCCTTTTCCCAAACTCTTCCACCCAACCAACTTTTGGAGGCAATGCTTCCACGACTAACGGGGCATCAGCGATGGCACTTGTGTCTCGGGCCGATTTAGAAGTATTCAAGCGTGAACTGATGTCCGAATTTCGTCGCGAGGTGCAGCAACTGAAGAACGATGTGATCGAAGGTAAGTGTTCGCGCATACCCACTTCGCTCATCCGTTTGACCGTCACAGGTACACAAAACTCGCAACCCACATGGTGTTTACGGCAAATACGGAACTTATGTCATTATTGATTGCATGCTTCGTTTATCATCACATTGACGCCACTTTCATCTGATACACTGCACTTGCTAAACCTCAAACGGACCATAGACAACCTGGACTTATTTTAGGGAGCTCAGAGTGCACAAAATCCGCTAGCGCCAAGCTGGGTCGGAAAGAATTTTCTTGTGTGGTCTTGTTAACTAACAGTCAAAACTCGAAGAAATTCTATCCCGATCTTCCGAATTGAGATTAAATCGGGTTATCAACGACAAAAGCCGTCAAGAATACAGCCTCAACCCACATTTACATGTGCAACCCAACTTTAGCGAAGATACAACACACCTGCCACATCTACCGCATTATTGACCTGGGTTAGTAACTAGAACCCGAATCAGCGTACTTACCAAACGCCGGCACACTCAGTTAACTTACCCGTCGTCTTTTCTTTATCGATCCCCTGAGGCCACGTTGCTTACTTATCAAACTAGCTCAGCTGAGGCGCTCGCAGCCCCATGCACTACAGCAACAAGTGCATGACATCGGTGGGCTAGGCTCCATGGTCACCTTTCACCTTCTTAACGGTCGTTTTTCTTGCTGATGTCATAGCCCTTTCTCGTGGATGGGACCAACAGCATTCTTGGTGTGATCACCCTATTGGCGGCAATCCACTGCCAGTTAATTCCAGTACTTCAACTCAACCTTACTTATTGATAAACTCACGTTGATCATGTTTTTGTAGCGCAGCTTTGGTTTGCCCACATTTCGCTTCTCTGTACGCAATTGGCCATGTGGCAGACGCTTCGGTATCCTGGTTGCATCCACACAATGTGCATGCTCGAGCCAGGTCAAATGTTGCAGCAGCATGAAGTCCATTCCATACAAACTGCTCCGGTGGATGACTTCTGGGCCGGGAATTTCGTCAAAACAACAGTTGCGCAGAATCCGGCGCAGACACTTCTGTTAAAATCGCTCGATATATCAGTTGTCTTTCCTGCGCAGTGAATACTGTATTGTCTATGTTTTGCTGACGTAGATGAGAACCGACAGCACCCATCGACTTGTGCACGGTCAGCGTGGTCCCAGAGGTCAGTAGCTGATTCTTCCATACCAGATGTTCCACCTTCCCAAATGTCTCATCCACCTTCGATACACGAGTGTGCAGCCCACTGGTCATCTGCAGGCCTGTTTATGGCTCCCAAGGTACAATAATTTTGATGAGGTCTCCAGGACTTATTCACCCATCTATTTGTAGGTAGCGCAACGCATCCATTCCTGGTTGCCGTTGGTGAATACGGACTTGGCGGCCGTCGAAGCGAGAGCCGTCTTCATACATTATCCTCGTTTTGTGCAAACGACGCGCAATTGTCTGCATCTAGATAGTCTCTTGCTATGCATTGATGCGTATTCGACAACCCACCATCAATTTGCCGCTTTTAACGGACATTCTAATGAGAGGTATCGAGGGCACAAGACATCACAGCAGTTAGTTAAATATTAAACAGGATAGAGGCTATAACACATCATTGCTTCATACCCGCGACATCAAAGTCATTCGACGTTCGTCTACATTATGAAGGTAGTTGATAAGGCGAACAAAACTACTTAGGCAACTAACTTTATTCAAAACCAACCACAGTGTCTCTTGATTCGTCGTGTCAATGGTTTTGGTACAAGGGATGGCCTCACTTTCAGCACTTCTCTTGAATTTGACGGCTTGCAACCGTCATATTCATGACACTGCGGCCAGAACAGAATCCACACTGCTCCTCAGCTATGCGGCATGGTTGCCATCATCCAGGCCACTGTTTGGTTTACAATGTTCGACTGCTTTTGTTGATCTACGCCATTCGGCTAAAACGTCGAAAATTTAAGTCGCGTAGTCAAAGATAACGAAACCAGAATGGCTTAAATTATCCAGAATGGTCTCTACAACGCAGCAGTAGCACCAGTTGAAGAGACCGTCAGCTGACGATAATTGATGGAAGAAACCAGATCCATCGCATTGCCCGCACTACGCTAGGAGATTAGATCGTTTCGTAAACTTCATGCAGTATTGTGATAAACAATCCACTGTCTGTTAGCTTACCCCTTTCCCTTGCTATCTTGTCCTGCGATGACCGAAATGACGACATGTGTGGTGGACCGGCTTTTGAGAAATGTGACCTGCTTTGCACGGATAGACCGTTGGACTGTTGTCACGTTTATTGACTGACCACAAGTTTACTTCTGACGGTTTCACCGTCTATGAACGATACTCTGTACACGTAGTCAGACTCGTCTTATTTCTCACTGCCTCGATGCATTTCAGCCACAACGTTGCACCGGTCGCACTCTCTAAACACACTGTTCCGGATGTGTAATTGCTTAAACCCTCAATCTCCCACCCACGTCGATTTCACTCGCAGACATATCTGCCGGTTCGACTACTAAGACTTATCCATCTGTTTAGTGTGCGTGTGTGTGTGTGCCGATTTCCTGTTATTTGTGTTCTGAAAAGACCATGTAGTTGATGTGTCATTACCCTGAGATCACCACCTTGATGCTCTGCTTTTCGTTTCTCGCGGACCTGCTCCTTCAAGTATTGGCATGGTATATCATCATGGATCCATCATCATCTGTCATTAGTGTACCGATTAGTATTACTAGTACCAGTGGCATTACGATTGTCCAAGTCGAAGCTATCTACTATGCAGGCTTCGCCTAGTCGAACGCAATTGTGAGGGGTACATTCATCACAAGTATGGTAAACGAACCACGAAACATTCACTGGAAAGATCAAGTCGAGCCATGAGTTTAGCCAGAACACTACTTATTATTTCTTGTTCACTGTTGACTTGCTCCCATTCCTGTTTATATTCTCATTCTCTACATTTTACAATTGCTCTTATCAATGAGGCCCGAATCAAGGCAACTAAGCCCACCGGATCTCGGTACGCTCAACACGGGGTGGAGCCACTGCACTGGAAATCTGCACTGTTAGCATGAATCACTTTCATCACAACAACGCTCAGAGTTCAATTTTTGTTAATTTTTAACTGATAGTTTCCATTCATTCTAGGTTAAAGATTGCTCTTTCGTGTACAATGCTTTTTACATATGTAGCGTATGTTTCTCACTGAAAACCAAGCGGTCTTGACGACAGCTTCTGCTACTGATTGCCCCAGTTTATGGTTAAGCTTTGCAGAAAGCACGTGACTTCCTCTGGTATCCACATTAGCGAAAAAACATTGCACTCATTGAAAACATTATGTACATACATGTGCTTGTCTGTACATGTGGTTTCATATTTGCATGAGAAGGAGAATCGTTGCGTGTGTATTTTTTTTACTCCAAACGCACTGAGCAAATATTGTAAGGTGTGTAGGCGAATAAGTAAGACACGTTCTTGTTGATTATCCGGCAAACACATTCAACACACCGCGTCAGCATAGCGTGGTTCTTCGATTTGACTGCCGTTCATGTGATGGCACCACACCGCTCTCTTGATTTTTCCAAAGGAAAAATTTACATTTTGTCTGCCGATTGTAAGCTGTTAGATATCTGACTCCGTTTTCCTCTGGTAATCTCAACCACGCGGTGTGTTTTCACATGTCGCACTGCTTCAGCGAGATCTTTCTCCGCCTCACCATCATAATGTGGTCATATTGATTGGAAAGGTTTATTCCACACCATTTGTTGGGAGGGCAACGTTCTTGGATCGTGGATAGCCTCTCCTAGAGATGTCTCTTGATTCATGCCACTTTCTCATCAGAATGGGACTTGTACTAGAACTTGCAACCTTCTCATGTGCTAGCGTCCAAATTCATCAGACTGTATTAGGTAACAGTGTGAAAAGATGTTCAGTCGGATTATAGAACATGGTCAGAGATACATTCGGTGAAGTCTAGCCGCCTTCTTGCCGTACTGTTTGATCCACGGCTAGAACCAATAGGGTGAGGGAAAGAGTGCTAATGCTTCTTTGGATGCATCGTACCTGGCCATTGATGTGAAATCGATTTTACAGCGCCACTGTCACTGACAGGGGAGATAGGTGGTGCTATATCCGTTAGTTTGCAACTTATGTAGCCCAACCAACCCCCCCCCCATGGCTCAGTGACTTAAGCTACTGGCTAGTTGGCATCTGCCTATATCGGTCATGGGTTCGATCCTCCTTAGAGGACCGAGGGAATGCGCACTATTGATGAGCCCCAATAGGGTGAAACGCGTCTGGTGCTTTTCCGGACTAGGCTCTGCTTTGTAGCTTGTGAACTACTGGGATGCAAATCTTAACAAAATGATAACTAAAATCCTGCTACTTACCAGTAATATTAATATGTTAAATCAATGCCACACCGCTCAAATGTATCAATGGCGTTCATCAGGTTGCGTTTACCTAAATTCTCTGTCTGTTCCCGGGTTATTCTTGTTCTTTTTTCCCCTGATTTTTCTTACACTTCTCCTTCTTCCACTAACAAAGTGCCCTTAAGGGAGCCAGAGCCACCGCAAATCAGTGCACGGGTCATAATTGATCTTTTAGCTTAACTGCGCTCACTCTTGTGAAAGTCACCAGCTACTCAAAATACTCCTCTTTGTATATTTTTGCAGGTATTCTCAGTTTGTTTCTACGGGCTTCCTACTTTGCTCCTTTTTTGCTCATCTTTACCGTAGTCTTGTTGTTCTCTGCCCCCTGCGGTACAGTAACTGTGTTTTCCATATGTAACTATTTAGTATATTGATGAATGATGATGAACTCTGCTCCGTGTTCTTCCCCTCCATATACCCGACGCGTTCATCTTCACTGTTTCACTCGGTACAGACACCGCTCGCCTTCTCAATGCTTGTGTTCTTTTCATTGATCATTTCGTCTTCTTTATGTGCCCACACCACCAGCTCTTCGCGCCTCTGTCAATCGATGTTGACAAATCAAATCCACTTGTGTCTCAACTCCTCTGCGCGATGGCTTCTTCACTTATTGATGATCACCACCATTCCATTGGCGTTCGCTGTGCGCCATCGCCACCGCAGCCCACTTCCACATCAACCATGAACATCGTTACGATGGTATCGCCATTCTCCTCTTCCGTGACCGTCTCGCTTCCTCCCTAATCCTTTGCCTTTCTCTCTTAGTAGTATCACGCCACACAGGAGTACACTGGTGTTATCACCTATCTGTAACAGGTGTTCGCTTGTTATTGTATGACCTCTGACATGCCATGGCTCTCACTAACTTGATGTTAGGCTTTTTTCGATCTCGTGCATTTCCAGCTGGTTTTCTTGTATCCACTTGATCCTCCACTTCAGTTGTACCCCCTCACCCCAGTTGTTTGGCGTTTCTTCACGGTTAACCTTATCGATTGATTCACAGTATTTTGCGCCTTTAGCACCGGATCGATTACCCTGTTCACCTGTTCAACCCTCGATGACACTGCATTGTGCTTAAATACTGCTTTTGTTTGTCTCCTGCCTTCTCACCCTCACTCCACAAGCCTCCACCGCCCTCTGTATCGCTTTTGCTGCCCTTTTTTCTGCCGGACTATTTCTCCATCGATTACTCCGCTCCAACTAACCCCAGCACCGGCGGCGGCCACCTACCGATGGCCTTGGCGATCGACTGTGAAATGTTTCCTAACTCTGCTGTGTTGCATGCGATTGTTTTGTTTTGTACACATCGTCCGGCTTTCATTACACACGCTTCCTTGTTATCTGCTCTGTTCAACTTTGTCACGCGGCAATGTTTCACGCAGCTTCTCCCGTTCTAATCCTCGTCCCTAACTTCTCTTCTTTGTGAGCAGAGGAGGCGGAGAGCTCATACATTATCCCCAATTTACTTGCCACCTCGGTATATATGATTATTTCACTTTGCTTCACTAGTTATCTATTATACATCATGTGTTTTTGTATTTAATAGCTGGTCTGAGAACATTTGTTATGGAGTTACAGTCAAGCCAGTCTAAGGTGACCAGTCAAGGAACCGGAAAAAGTGCTCACCATAGATAAGTTCATGCATGGGGATATTACTCCTAGGAGAAAACTCTGGAGATGCTTTTGGCTGGGCGCCATAAAACAGTGGTCACCATAGCAGGTTGGATTGTACTAGAATTATTCTTATTCGAAGGACCCTCAACATAGCATCTGATGATACCAGCTCCCTAGTTCGTATGGTGCCGCGGAGTCCTGTGAAATTGATTTCTCCTTACTAGGCTGCTCGAACTTGGTGATGGATAGACCCGTTCAATTACTACAATAATGATCGCATATGGTCCGACTGCTTACTCCACTACATCTCACATTTCTGATCACAGTTAAACTGTCAACTCATAGGCAATTCCCCACCTACTCTCTAGGTTCGTTGAGTCTACCTCCTCGTTCGGCAACTGGGAGATTTTGAGTGCTGCTCTGGTTTTGGCTTACAAACACCATGTAAGCAATAGGACAGTATTATCGTCTATCAGTGTGTGCAGAGGTTTTTCATTCTCTCATTTGACTGTATCTGCTTCTATCTCGGTATACAACTCGCGTTTTCTTACCGAGGCCCCAGTAAGAGCGAAAATTGCTAGCTCAGGTTTTTCTAGTGGTAATCCAACTGTTCCCTAAGCTTGATGTAAACGTTTCGTCAGCAATCGAGGTGACATAATCAGTGCGTTGTTGAGTAGCGTGTAACCAGTAGTGTAGCATGGGGAAGCTACTCATCAACGCACTGATGATGTCACCTCGATTGGTGACGAAACCTTTTCAACCTAATTGCCAAGCTTAGTCAACAGTTTGACTGCCACAATTTATCCCCAAGTTGCGTAGTCGTTTTGCCGAGTGCATTTTTCTCGCCTGTTTCTAATTTACTTCGAAAACCTGATGCGAGCAAGTGTTTTTGTACGTCGGTGTTGCTTATCTAATCTCTCCCAATTTAGATGAACTAGACATTTGTCATTGAGTAACATCGAGTTTTGAGCTATCACCAAGCTTTTGTGGCTTAAGTAGCACCACTGTCGAGAAACAATTGCTCTTCGCCTTACTTTTTGCGAAACCAATGATGTATTCGTTCCCGTGCAAGTTGCTTGCTTGGTCTGCTATTCCACCAAGCATTCTGTCGAGTTCCGAATGTGGTTCGTCATGTACATTCTGGGGTCCAAATGTTGAAAAACTAATGCTGAGACGTTTGCCAATATGCTAGTACCTAACACGGAGTTACACTGTTATAATGCGTTTATTTCTCGATGGTGCGACAGGCTGTCCCTGAAATTGGGACAGACCATTAGTACAGTAATGATCATGCTCATGTATGTGTGGGAAATGTATTTTAGGACTGACATCAGAACATTTTGAACCACATAACTTTTGTTGTTGCTGAGTTCTGTGTAACATCTGACAACACGAACAGACTGTACGTAGACGGACTACTCCTGCTTTGGGCACTTAAACGCAGCTTCTGCACTTGGCCTAAAGAGACTGCCACTCTTCTGTTCTCTTCCATTCTAAAGCCGGTGCTTGAGTACGGCTCACCCGCCTATTGCCCGATCACAATAGGTGAGGTTCAGAGACTAGAACGGGTCCAGTGTGTAGCTAGCCGGGTCATCTCCAGTTTACTGGGTATATCGCACGAAGTCCGATGTAGAAGACTAGGGCTTTGTACCCTGTCATATCGTCCGCTTCGAGTTGATCTCATTATGACGCACCGGATACTGCACCTGAGCCACTTCCCCATGCTGAAGCTGTTGCTGCACGTTCGCGCACTAAGCAGCACACGCGGACACCGGTGCAAACTAGTGGTACCGCATTTAAAGCACATTGCTCACTCTCTATGCTTCGAATGGTGAAATATTGAAACAAAGTGCCGAAAATTAAGAGATTCCCAGTTGCCCACTTTGCGGACTACAGGTACAGGGGGCGTATCGCACTCAGAAAAGATGTAGTGAAGCTGCAATATGCTGCTACCGCGCAGGAATCAATGACGTGCTTCCGCGTATGTGCCCGATCCACCTACGATGTGCAACGCAGATTTTATATTTCTTTCTACTCTTCGTATTCACTGGTTATGTATTTCTTGCTCCATCCTGGAAGAACTCATTTCGTAATTTACCTGGTGAAAATATGGCCATTCTCGAGTTCTGATCCAGGAAATTTATAAATTGTATGCGGAATCTTATTTCATTTTTACAAGATCTGCTAGTGGCTGATAAGCTGTTCCACACGACAGCGTATGTGGTGAGGAAGAAGTTGAATCAAATAGTTGTCCTGGTTCTTGGCAAAATTAGTTTATGAGTTTTCTTACAGAGCATCCGAGTGAAGTTATGCCTCAACTCGAATGTGCACAGCTTGGAGTATTTCTCTTAGTTTATGGGGGTCGTGCATGAGCATCAACTTATGTTTCAGTCATCGCAACCAAAGTGGCTATAGGTTAAGCCTCTCCGGCAGCCTTCATGATAGCCCAAGGCGAACGATTTACTGATCAAACGTTTAGTGGATGGTTTTTGCAGCTTTTCCGTCACCCATATACATGTTCCCATAAATGATGCTACACTATTCAAGAACGGGAAATGTGAGGACTTTGAAAAGCTCGATTTTTGCAGGGATTTTATTTCATATGTTGGTCATGGATCGTTTAGCGGGTGCTCTGAGGAATTGAAGTCCGACGAATATCGCACGCCCAGATCACAGCTAGACAGTTTCACCTAAATGCTTTCATTATTCAGTTGAAGTGATTCTTTAAAGACCAAACATCCGTGTGGCATTGTTCATGATTTACCAGCTGAGAAATTTGTCACACCATTTCTCAAGTGAACGTTAGTTTTCTTGAGCGAGCAATCTTGTGCTCTGTAGTTCGTCGCGTGTCAAAATCTATAAGCAATCTTGATGTCATCAGGTGAACCAAAATGGTCTGCCATATTTGATGAACATCGGGATATCGTTGATGTGGGTTAGGAAAAGTAAAAGACCCAACGCGCTCCCTTGGATGGTATCACTAGTGATTGGACCTTGGGTGGAGTTATGGTCACGCAGGGCGACTATGTGATTGCATTGATTTAGGCGTGATGTCAAACAACCAAATAGTGGGTCTCTGAGGCACCCTGGTTGGATTCTTTCTGCATATCCGGAGTTGACATAATTGGAGTCAGTGGGTTCTGTGATCTAATCCAGGTGGTATATTAAGTTTTACAGGAGCGTTTATCGAGAACCCATGCTGGGATTTGTTAAGCAGTCCAATACGATAAATAAAGCTCATTATTCTACTTTTAACTTATTTTTTTGAACGGTTATGAGTGTACAATGGATAGGCCGGTAATTAGGGCTTTATGTTTGGGCCCTCTTTATAACCACGGGTAATAAACGATGTTTTGCACTGATCCCGTAAATGGCCAGGTTTTAATGACAAGGCAAACATGTTTAGCAAAAGCAGTGACATGTCAGTTCCGCCGAATTTAATGGGGTGTGCCATCGGAATCCCGTTTGAACGACGGTTTGATGAACTCTATTCCCTGTCTGATGTTCGAAAGTGAAGTCTTGACATTGGATATTACACTTGGTGATGTAAGTTCCGAGTAGGAACGTGTGGGATCAGTTTTTTAGGTTCATGGAGGCAACGAAAAGAGAGCGAGATGCTTCACAAATAGCGGGTGAGTGACTAAGATAGTGACCCTCCTCATTGTTCAGTACCGTGATCGAAGACATTCTATCAATCGTTAGTTCTACGACGGGTTCTTTTATCAGCTGCTAAAGTTTGCAAACGCTGTGCGCACAAACTCTCATCATTTTAAATTTATTTGGGTGTTCTACAATCCTTATGTTGTTTATTCCGCTGTGTTGACTTAACCGTCACAGCACGGGACGAACTTCAACAGCAACGGGGTAATGACTGCTGGTCTTTCTGATTACACGAGCTGCCAGATAAATGGCCGGATCGATTTATAACAGCTGTTTCAGCAAACCCGTTTGAATCGTCTCTCTATATCGCGTACTCTAATATATGTGTACCAAACCCAGAATACATCCAGAGCCGCACGGGCCCCATTCTTTGACATGGGAGTCCACACTCAGATTATTAGACATATATATATATATATATATATATATGGCGGGAGAGCCTATGGTTCGCTGAATTTGTTGGTGGCTAGATCCTGACGGATGGTCTACTCACTGCTGCTAATGTTCTGCCATTGGCTCATGTCCTGGGCGCCTCATGGCGACCGCTGGGTTACCTCCTTCTCCCTGCTAAGATCCAGGACACCAATCCGCATGAGTCAGTGAACTGACTATGTGCTAGACCCGCTGCCTTTCGGGTGTTCATTTGATCGAAGGCTTTGGCTGAGAACCCGAGTCGTTCTCCTGTCAGGTGTGGGCGCCCTGGCAGTATCCTAGTCCATCCTCTTCGGAGCTTAGGAAGTGGTCGATGGCCCTCTTCCCGTAAAACCTAGCCATGTGAGACAACAGGTTTACGGGTTATAAGCTCACAGCTCGATTGGCGTAGAGCACGTGTGCCACGCATTGTCTCTGACGGTGGGAGGACACCTCCGGGTGTTCAATGGTTTGCTACTGCCCGCCTCAAGCCAGGCAGCCCCTGGTCAAATTGGTGCAAACCCGCCAAAAACCCACCTGCGTCTGGCCGTGGTCGCAGGTGCGTACCCAAGTACGGTCGCAAAACATAAGATAATTGTTCCAGAACCTCAAAGGCTGCGTGTGACGGCCGTCAAGCAGATCCCAATCTGTCTCTGCAATCACATTGCCGAGCTGGATCTGCTCCCCACTGTCTTGTGGGTCAGGCTGTTGAGCCAAAGCCTCCGGGCGAAGTCCCTCAAGCAAACCTCCAAATCACCCACTGCCTTGTGGGTCAGGCTATTGAGCCAAAAGCTCCGAGTGGAGTCTCTCAAGCAAACCTCTGAAGCACAACGACCACCT